ATATATATATATATATATATATAATCTTATGATGTTGCAAAATCCCATTATAAGATTTTTAGCATGCTTACTTCCTAAGTTATTGCATATGACTGCCCAAACTCACTGGATTTCAGCATTCTAAATCCTTTATTTGGGAGGGTTTGAGAACCTTGTGGTTTATTTTATAGCTATTCCTGATGTTTGCTTCCTGATGTGGCTTAGAATTGGAAAGGCAAAAATTATGATCCCACTCATTTTTCTTTTTTCTTGTCTGTTTCTTTGGTATCTCACTCCAGTTTCTCCAATTAATGAGATACACAGTGTTAGCCATTAGAAGGGAGTTGACTCCTTGCGTCCTTGGCAGGAAGAACATGTTCCAAAGGCTGTTCTTTTAGAAATGTCATTGTATAAGAGGCAAAGTCAGTAGCAGTATTTATGATTTCTTAGATATCATTGAGAGTAGTGTTTTAGTGGCCAAATTTAGATACAGAAAAGGACGGAAAGAGTGTTCTTCACATGAGTCTTTGGATGCCAGCTTAGGCATCTTTTTCTAATGATAATGTCAAAATGACAAAAACTGCATCATGGCATCACAGCACAAGCTCTGTCTTTTCATATTTTCTCCACAGTGTCATGCCTAGGAGCAGAGTTTGCATTACAAAGTCATGATGCATATTTTGTCCCTTGCCCCTCTTGATGCCTGTGGGTACCAGGTCTTTACTAAGGAGAAGAAAGTGGGGAGGGAAGTAGGGAGCCAGTACCTGGAAGCAGGTAATTAACCGAGCCCCACGTAGATGAGCAAAAATAGATGGTTGGGACCTAAATTGGTGGCTCATTGAGACAATGTAAATCACTGAATGAGTAAAGAGGAAGTATGTGATCTATGAAAATGTAGGAATAATGGGTGTTACAAATCATGGAGAAGGCTGCTGAACATGAGGAAATTAGGCAACTTTATGATACAAATGACTATTCTGTGATGCAGTTCCTATATTTTTCTGTAGGTGGCCACAAGTCTTTGCAACTGTTAGAAACAGTTCCCTAACTGCAGCTAATTTATAGCCCAGTCTTGCCCAGTCTAGCATGTAGATGGAGGCTGAAAAGAATAAGATGTAGCCCAGTATTTTGGATTTTGGGCCACTGGGTAGAGAAGGCTTCTCTAATATAAGAAAGGGTAAAGGAGATGGAAGGAGAAAATATTTAATTGCTATTTGCATCTATTCCCTTTAAGGATGAACTTGTTTGCAACATTAAGGGTTATATTTGAACCTTACCTCTTTACCAGCATTGGTGTTGGAAACTAAAGTTTGAAAGGGGGGGGTTGTTCATTTGAGTATTTAGTTTCTCTTTTGCTTTATTTACAGCCAGAAATTGAAAGAAAAGAAATTGCTGGCAAAGAAGAGTAAACTTGAACAAAAGAATGAGCATGCAGGTAACATGAACAGCTGTAATCTTGAGATCAGCCTATGAGAAAATTCCTTTTCTCAATCTCAGCTTCTGTGCAATTCAACAGAAATTGAATGTCTGCAGAGTATGGGCACACAATGTAGCATATACATTAGTGTGGATGTCTTTCAAAGTGGTCTTCCCCAGCCAAGTGCCTGTAAGTGTTGGACCCAGAAGCCTCAGACTTTTTGGGCAGTGTTCATATTAATACAGTACATTGGGGACTACATGCTGGAGAAGGTGGGTCTTAGAGAGAAAAATCCCTTGGAAATTTTTCAGGATTGTTAAGAACAAAAGGCTACATGTCTTCCAATGAGGGAAAGAAGGGCAAGTGATCATGGAAAGATGTTTCCACGAAGGCCGTAGGAAGTACAGTTCGTGTTTGTATTGTAGTAAGCAGGCCTGAAATGGTGGAAGGAAAAGATTTTCCTTAATAGGGAAAGTAGGCTTGTCCTTGACATGGGAAGAACGTGTCCTACACACTGTTGCCCAGTGGTAAACACAACTGGGGAGGCAGGAGAGTCCCCTCCCTCTGCAGGTACAGCAAGGGGGAAAAGAACAGCTCTTCATTAACTCATCCTTCCTTAAGCTGGTGCCCTTGGAAGAGTTGGGACTAACTCCCAGAATTCTGGCTGCCAGGTTTGGGGGGGGGGGGGGGGGGTGTTGACTAGATCCAAGGCTGCCAAGCTGAGGAAGGAAGACTAATCCAGTTTGAGGAAGACTAGGGACTAAATCTAAGAAGTCTGCAGAGGTTTCTGGTATTTCTACAGCGATCATAAAGAGGATAGCCTTCTTGTTTTCTTTATCCTAAGTAAATACTCAGATGCAGTATGCTCCTGAATGTGAAATTCCACTTGGCTCTGATGGCTAATGAATGCGAATATAGCAAACTTCCATTAGTTTAACCAGATCTTCTTTCCCCTTATATTTATCTTCTACAGCTGCAGATTCTGACCATTCCCCCAAACAGCAGACCAGTGAAGATGAGGCTTCTGAGGAAGAGGAGAAAGATGATGTGGAGGAACCCAGCTTTGTGATGAAGAGATGATGGTGTTGGTGCTCTAGTTAATATCCAGCTAGTGTCAAGGAGCTGAAACCCGAGTTGAACAAGAGGGTTTTTCTGCTCTTTTGGACTTCACTGTGGCAGCAATATGGCCATAATAGTCCCATGGGATATCATTGCTGGATCCAAGTCAGATGAAAGCTGATTTCAAACTTTCTTGTATAACTGCTGTGCAGGGTTTCAGGGAAAAGTGTCAGCATCATATAATGCTCTAGTTCCTCTGCTATTGGTCCAAAGTGACATTTCTTTCTCAGTCTATGTCTTTAAGTAGATCTTCTCCTGAGAGACCTAAATATACAAAATGGGTTTATGTGGCTGAGAGATGGACTTGACTTTGAGGCAGGAAATAGTCTCTACTTTCCTGCAGGAAAAAAAGTTAATTTCTTGAGTCTCTATTTATTTCTTGCATTTCTGCTGCAAGATAAGATTTTCAGGAGCATTCATTACATTCAGGAGCATACTGCATCTGAGTATTTACTTAGGATAAAGAAAAGACAAAGGCTATCCTCTTTATTTTCCAACAACTAAGATGATCTAGTGTTTCACTTTAGAAGTGTGTTGTTAATTTTTATTATAAACATTTCTGAATAAAAAAGAGGATATCCAACTGTTTTTGTTTTCCTGCCTCTGAAGGATACACACTGTGCATTTTATATTGGACTTTTCATCTGTGAATTTGTCTACCAAAAACATTTAGCTGTTTAAGATAAATGGAACTTCCATATTCAGTGGACTATACCTTTGAGCACCAACTGTTAGGAAATAGCAGTTCATGAGTTTTTTAGGGTTATCTGGCTGATCAGTATGAGAAACGAGATGCTCAGTTAGATACGTCATTCTCAGTTTTAATTTTTGTATAATTGTTAAGTGTTCTGTTCTTGAAATACAGTTGCCACATTCCCACAGAGTGGCAAGCCAGTATTCTTTCTTCTGTTCGCTGGGGAAGAGAGGTGTGTTTGTATATACGGTCTGCCAATATCAGAAATTATGTCTTCGCCCAATGTGTGAATTTTGCAGTCAAGACCTATGCAAAAATAGGGGCTTCTGTATGACTCCCACTTTACTTGATTCATCTACAAAATTGAAATAGAAAAAAGTGATACTGATAAAAATTTCTAATAAAGGTTTTAACTTTGCAACAGAGCATACATTAGTATCTGCTTCCTGTCTGATGAAATTGTTTTGTGACTCATAAACCTAGAAGTGTGTTGATGTAGAAACTGATTGCCAGGATGTTCATCCTTTCAGCACTAGGAAGAGGAAGCAAATGCCTTTCTTCAGTTTATAGGCCAACCATGCCTAAATTCTCATGTTGAATATAGTTTGAATAAAAATAAATCTGTCCAAGCCAGAACTGGGTTCCTTTGAGAGCCTATCAGCTATGTATCTTTAGAGACAAGTTCTGTGAAAAAGCAAAATAAATGGTATTGCTTGGGAACCAAGATCATTGGGGACCAATTAATGCCAATTTTAGAATAGCTGTCCATGCCAAGCTCCGGAAAAGTAGGACTTGTTGCAATTCAGTTAAATGTTGACTGATTAGTTGCGGGGGAGGGGGATGCTCTTGCCTCCAGACTAATTTTGGGTTAGAGTCAAGTTCTTTATTCCAAATCGAAAAGGAGACACATTTTCCACATGCTCAGATTAATATGAGCCTGCATCCTTGGAGAGCAAGTGCCAAACCCCCTTTTCTGAGGGAGGGATGGATGGTTTGCTGGTAACGCAGTGTCTGCTTCACTGAAAAAAGGGACAGAAGAGAGATGCTCAAAGAACTCAAAACATTCTGGTCCCAGCTGGGGAGGGGGGGACGGCTCAAAACGAGCCCATTTCCCAATTAAAAGGAAATATTCGCAAAGGGGCTTGGCGGCCCCACCCGCCACCTCATTCCCCCGAACGGTTCGGCGGGAGAAAGTCTGCAGGGGCAGGAGAAGGAAAGGCGAAGGATCCCTCCGTCACATGCTCGCTACTATCGTGAGGTCACGTGGCAAGGCCCTGGCGTTGCCTTGGCAGCACCGCAGGCGACCGCACTGGCGTTCCTGCAGCTGCCGCCGCCGCCGCCGCCGCCGCCCGCCCGTCGTCCATGGGGTAAGTCGGCGGGAGGGCTGTGGGAGGGGGAGGGCTCGTTTGCATATTCGCATATTCATAGATGCATAAAGAGATAAGAGCGGGCGGTAGGCTCTGCTCGCCCCAACGCAAAAAGCGAGGCGAAGCGTGGGAGGGTTCCGACGAGCTTCCTCCCCTTCGCGGCGAGGTTGTGTTCGCTGATACGCTTAACCGGCTCAAGGAAAGACTCAGCGGATGGCACAATATGCATAACCTGGTCAGCATTAAGCCTGCTTTCTTGTCTCGTGGCTTAGCGTGTGCTGCGAATCCAGAACCCTTGTGTTCCGCGTATTGTGCGGAAGGGTTAACCCAGGAACCGTGTTGTGCGAACGGAGCCGTAGAATCTTAACTGTAGGCTTGTAACTGGAGGTCGGCCTGCAACGTATCTCTATGGTGTAATGCAATATATAATAATTGATAATGAAGTGCTATCAAATTATTTTTTTAGAAACTGCCTTGCCTGGAAGGATCAACATAGATGTTACATCTGCATATTGTACTTTTTGGGAATATTTTTCAAATAATTGCAGCCACAATAGGGGCATTTTCATAGTATTCTTAATCTGCTGCTGAATTCATTTTCTTGGTTTGTGGAAGACAACAATTAACTAGATTGGATTTGCACAAGATGCTAAGGCGCAAGGAACCTAACAAAAGTCAATACTAACCAAGCTTAATATATTGCGCAAATGCAGCTGTAGCTCTTTAAATGATCTAGCAAAAGAAGTTATACTGTAGTGTTACAGTAGTGCATTCCTGCTTTGGACAGAGGGTTGGACTAGATTATCACTAAGGTCCCTTTCAACCCTTACCTTCCATAATTTCATGTAAATACAGCCGTTCTGTTCCCAGAAATCTAAATATATATGTTTGTAGGAGTAGAAGAATATAGACTTGTCTGTGTATTTTGGGGCAGCAATCCAGTATTGCCTATCTGGATTGACCATATTTTTTGAAAGATTCAGACCAAATTCTTCTGCAGCCCTATGTGAAGAAGTAGGATTGAATGTGGCAGAGAGCTATGGCTTATTTCCAACACGCTGCCATTTACTTCCACCTAAGAGCCTACTGTAAAATTGTAGCCTCCTGTTTTGGTTTATCTAATCTCTGAGGTTCCATTATTGTATGCAAATACATGTGAACATCTCTCTGTCATTTCTAAGGGCCAGCAATATTCATTATTGCTTTATAGAGTTTTATAAGCAAAAGGAGAGGTCCATGCCTGCCAAGAGGCTACTATCTGAAATAGGCAGTGAGAAAGCAGTATTGGGTGGGGAACGTTAGGAATATTCAGCGTTTGCAATAAAGGAGCAAGCTGAAGGCCACTAACAAAATATGTACTTTGAGCGAGGCTTTGAAGCAAAGGAGCAGGCGCCTCACATGTGCTTAAAGAAGCAGTTCCCAGTGGCAGGATGTGTCTGGAGTGAGCACCTTTTGAAAGCCAGAAGAACTGAAGCCCCTCACTTGGTGGTATAGAGTGTGCACGCGCGCGTGCCTGGAAGGTTTCAGAATATCAGCCTGACACGATGCAGATGTGAGCTCCATTTGAGTACTATGGATTTCAATGGGTGAGTGTTCGGTGCCTGAAACATTCTCTGCTGAAATCTCTGAAATCTTATTTTAGCTGGATCAGACCCCCAAAGGTGATTCATGTGAAAATAGATTGGGTGAGTTATGTGCCTGAGAGATTATAGAGTGGTTATCCAATCCTGATTGAGGAGAGGTGCTCTATTTTTAATGGAAAAGAATATATTTTCTGATTGGGGTGCGTATGGTGTGTGTGTGTGCATGTATGTGTATGAAAGGTCTAGCTCTGTATGTGTATGTATATGTTGTGTGTGTGTGTGTGTGTATGAAAGGTCCAGCTGTTTTTCCCGCACTGCTTGGTATGTGTTACTAGCCTTCCAGTTCAACTTCAGTATGTGTTTGTAAATGTTGCATTAAACATTCTCTCTTGCTCTCTGGGGATGGGGTGGGGTGTAATTTTGTTTCTTGTTTGCTGCCTTTTGGATGGCATAAAAGTGAGATGGAAAATAAGCAGCCTTTTGAGATTTACTCCTAGGCAAGTGAGTACAGACTTGCATGCCTGATCATTAAATTGAAAGCAAGGTGATGCAACTGTGTGAGAAGTGTAAGGCACACCCTATTCTCTGCATGGAAGCAGTGTGTTTCACACCCAGCAAGATGCCCCACCCAGAAGTGCTCTGGTATTGACAAGATAAGGAGTCCAATGCAAGAATTTGCAACAGAGGGAGGGATAGGTAAAGTCGGAGGGTAATATTAATCACAATAACTCCACCAGGGAGAGTTGGAAACACAAAAGAGTCTATTGGGCAGTGGTTTATTTGCCTCAGTCTAATGGAATAATTTTCATAGCTATATGCGAGCAGCTTACCTGATTGATGTATTTCTAGCAAGAAAAAAAATGTTGTCTTTGAGATTGATTTATTATGCACCATCATGTCAGTGCTGGCTTCTAGCGACCTCATAGATAGATTTTCTCCACGATGATCTGTCCCTAACCTGGTCTTTCAGGTCTTCCAATGGTACATTCATCGCCACTGTAACTGAGTCCATCCAAGTTGCGGCTGGTCATCCTCTTCTTTTTCCTTCCCCCTTTCTCAGCTTTCGAGCCTTTTCCAGAGAACTGGGTCTTTGCATAATGTGTTCAAAGCAGGAAAATTTGAGCCTGGTCATTTGTGCCTTGAGTGAGAACTCTGGGTTAATTTGGTTGATGATCCATTTGTTTCCTTTTTTGGCTGTCCAGAGTATTCTCAGGAGTGAGACATTAGAATATATGTATTTCTTTGCGTAGAGTGGTGCGGGGCTACAAATTACCAGTGTGGACACTAGATGGTGGCAAAGTGATGCAGAAATCGCTTCCTCTTGGTCACCTAATGGTCATCCAGTTGTTTGCAGTCCAGATATGTCAATCCTGGAGTAGTTACCCTCCCTTGCATAAATTAACTGTGCCAAAAAGAAAAAAAAATCCTGCACATGTGAAGCATCCCATGAAGACATTAGAATAAGACTGATTTATTTATTTATTAAATTTATCCCTGCCCATCTCCCCCTAATGGGGGACTCTGGGCGGC